TGAGGTGACGTTTGTTAACTAAACTTATTGAGATAGTCATTTCACAAAATATACATATATCAAATTATGCTGTACATCTAAAACTAATGTTATATGTCAATTATAACAATACAAAACAAATTTAGAAAAAGCAAAATGGGAGGGGACAAGAGTGTAAAAATGTTGATAATTGCTGAAGTTGATAATTATTGAACACATCAGGGTTGAGGTTGATTATACTCATCTCTATTTTTGTATGTTTACATTTTTTCACAAAAAAAAGTTATAGAAAATATTATTTAGCTGTCTCCAACTGGATTGGTATAAGTTTACTGATTGTGACTACACTAAAAATTGGTTCAACGTTAAGGTAATGCTTGTTAGTGGAAAAAAAACCTCATAGAGTAATTACATTAACACATAATATATAGTATCCTATGTTTGTGAGTAATAAAAAAATTCACCATAATGAGAAATGGTTGTAAAGTTTTATGTTATATTTCTTGAGATGATCAATTTTTAACTGGATTAGGTAAGTTTTAAATCATAAGCTGATAATCTTGAGTGACAGATAAATTTTCTTGAATGTATAGAAAGTCTAAATATTTTATTTTCATAAGGAAACAATCTTACTAAACAGTAAAGCTGGTACGTGGGGAAGCACACAGCTCATGTGTGCATCTGGCAGAACCCCCAGTACAGAGAAGAGCAGGTGCTGTTTCCCAGCGACACCTACTTTGTGTGTCCCAATACTATAGTTAGAAAATGGCTCAGATTTTTAGTTGCTTTTCCCAGAACTCAAAGATCGTCTTCCTGTTTATCTTGGTGGGATGCCTATGTTATACTTGTGATTTTTCTGTTCTTTGTAATGTATTAAAATAAGATTGTCACAGATGGGGAAACAAGAGGTCATTAGCTAACAATCAGATGTTTGATTTCCTGGGCAGAAAAGATACTGTTTGTGAATTTTTAACATATTTTTAAAGGAGAAATAGGGTTAGTCCCTTAAAGGTAAATCCTGTTCACTGAGCTTTCCTCAAGAGTCAACACAGTCCCTTCTAAATTCATTTCCTCATTTAACTCTGTCCTTTGCATTTAATCTCAGCTTTGCCTCTATCTTTGAGTAAGTCTCTTGTCAGTTCACAGTGGTTACTGCTTTATAGTTTAAGTAAACGTTGCCAGAAGAGCAAAGGGAAGCCAAATAGGTGGTCAATTAGTTTTGGTCCAAGTTGGTGTGATATGGAGATGATGGCACTTTTACTTTAATTCATCCTTCAGTTTCTAGAACAGTTGATCTTGATTAGAAAAATCTGTGGAAAAAAATTGTAATTCCTGGCTTTGGGAGACACAAGCCTTTTTCTCCCCAGAGTACTATTAGGTAACACACCTAATGCTACTAACTGTATAATCTTAAGAACTGGGAGGGACACTTCATTGTCTTACTCTTGTTTCATCTTCGGTAAATGGGCATAATAATAGTACCCACTTCAAGGTGTTACAAGGATTAAATGAGTTAATATTTGTAAAATGATTAGAACAGAGATTGGCACATAACAGTAAGCACCATAGAAGTGTTTATAAGATAAATTCCTGCGTGACAGTGTGAATCTTCTCTACAGCATTTGAATAAGTGATGACTGCTATACTGCTGGAGTTCCAAAATCTTGTTGAACTTGTCATTAGCCATCAAGTTGCCAGCAAATGGTTTGGTGAAATCTCACTAATTTGAAATTAGTTCACAGATTATTAAGCCCAAATAAGTGAAAATTCTGAAATCATGGATCTTTGCAAGTATCTGAAACAATATTTTATTTTTGACTGTTCTATTCATGAAAACTTTGAAAGGGTCATATTTGACTGATTTAAGTATTTTCAAGATACACATGTTCAGTTTGTGATTTTGTATACTTAATTGGAACAAAATGAAAGCTAATAAGGTTTTGATATGGACATCTATTCTTTTAAGTAGATATCAGTGAAAATATACGAAAAGAGCATATAGAGATGTAAATACAATTGTTTGCATGCCATAGACCTAAATAGTAATTTTTAAAGATATTGTTGGACCTTTAATACCTACAAATAACTAAATTTAGAAGAATCAAGTGTTTGTGAAATGAGTGTTCGCTAGTAAAGTTCCTGCCCATGAGGACAGTTAAGAATCATTTATAACTACTATAGCAAAAGGAGGCCTAAGAAGTATTAGATTTTACTTGTATTGAAATTATACTTTACATAATTTAGGTACAACAAAATGTTTTAAAAGTTTTCTTTCTTAAGTCATTTAAAAAAATTTCTAAATAAATTTACTTGGAACCTGATTAATTCAAAGGGCAGAGCTAGCAATTCCTTTTTCTTTGGTCCAATCCCATCCTATCCATCTCTTTCTTAGGGCACTTACACGGAACTCTAGGTTGTCATTATTTGTTTACATGCCTGCCCTCAGCACTGGACTACACACCTCCTGAGTGTATTTAGTATAACTACTTCATTTGTGTGCCAAAGACAGTCTGGCAGGTAGCATGTTCCTAATACATTTATTGAACAGCCTAATTAGTAATATCTGAAACAAGGACATTTTAGTGTATTTAACAAAGGTCTGGGAAAGTTGGATACACATCTGAGATATATCCAGGTCTTGATTCTTTACAGAAAGTTGGTTTTTTAGTTGGGTTTAGAATTTGAAGCTGTGGGTATAATACTTATCTCAGTCTTCCAAAAGCTAACCTAATTGGAATTACTGTTATCTTTCACCAGATTGGATCCCCAGGATACTGTTTATTTATATAGCAGAATTTAATGACAGTTTTAAGTTCTGCATATTGATGGTGAGCTTTTATATTTTTGGATTCAGGCTAGTTTTTTTTTTTTTTTAATATTCTACAAAGTGGTTTATAATAATTCCTTTCATTCTTCAGCCTTTGACGTACACATTTCAGCTCTTGTGCTGTTAACCTGGAAGGCTATCATCTCAATGACTGCTCAAGTTAGTTGAAGTCTATTCCGATGATACACAAGCCTGGCACAGCATTTCCCACGTTAGCAGGTGTTCAGTGAAGACCGTGAAAATCTAAATCATAGTACTTTTTATTCTAAAATAAATGACGGGCGGAAAGAAACACCTTTGGCTTATCTCTGGTAAGGTTTTTATGTTCTATAAAACAAAGAACTGTATTCATCAGTATAGCACAAGTTTTATTAATGTTTTTTTTAATTTAAAAAGTCGTTTATGTACTAATACTCATTTACCACCAAAATCCAACTCTCAGGAATAGTTCCATCAGTTTGAATTTAAAGTGTCTGAATGTGGATATTGGAATGAGCATTGATTACTTTATTTAACTTGGTAGCCAAAAATTTCTTCACGAGGTTTTAACCTCGGCAAGATTTCACAGGATTTAAAAATGGTAAAAATACATCAAATTTCACTACCTTTAAATTTGGCTCAAACAAGGCACAGGGGCTGGGACTAACACCGAAACAATACTTATTTTTGTTTTTAACCATTTCAGGCCTTCTTGAAATAGAGGCTGTATTGGTGTAATGGAAAAAGCAGCCTTGGAATCTGACAGTCTGAGTCCTGGATTCAGTCCCAGTTCTGCGTGACCTTTGGCAAGTTACTTTATTTCTCTGAATTTCCGTTTCCTCCGATGCAAAACGAGGATTGCAACAGCCACCTTGCAACCTAGTCTAGAGCGCGTCTAGAACACACCCAGTCAGTCCTAAACGGATAGCAGCCATATTACGAGCTCCCGCTTCGCGAGGATCTCGCTCTCCCCAGCAGGTGTAGGCACCGCAGAGCTTGGCTGCGGCTGAGCAGCCCCCGCCCTTCCGTTGCTCGCGGGCCTGCCTCTCGGCGTCCCCGCGCAGGCCGCGGCGGCCGGTGGCAGCGCGCCGGCCTCTCCGCGTCCCAGG